TTATATTTATTTTGTTAAGTTTTGATACCATCTGTATTATTGCATTGTTTTGTTTTCAGTTTCTATGAAAATGAATAATCAATGCCCTTATTAGATAATCTAGCTGGAACACACAATACTAAGAATACTTTAACCAAGACATTAAAAATGTCTAAGATTTGATTACCAGGTGCTTTTAAAAAAGGTATATGCTATCAGCCCCTCCAGGGTAGTGGAAGCATAGCTTGTCCTGAGAAACCCAACATCTCTGCAGAGCTCCTGGGCCAACTCCCACCCTCTTGTCAAGGACCTTGTTCTCCCTTCTCTCTGCTCCTTCAAAATTCTCAATTGCCACTATTCTACTGGTTTCTAACTCAAAAGGCTAAAAATATGATCAAGTTTTCATCTGAAAAATATCTTTTCAATCACCCTCCCTGAACCCTGAGAGCTAGTATTTCTGAAAGCAAAAGTTACTACAGACCTCATAATCACAAATCCAAGTCTTGCTTTTCATAAACGACAGCTAGCATTCTTTGAACACACACCCATAACCTTCTAGGCTTCTACCTCACAGGTTTTAGCTCATCTGATCCTCACAACAGTCCTATGAAGTAAGTGCTTTGAACTCCATTCTGCAGATGAGGAAAAGGAACTAAACTGTGAGCCCAAGGTCACAGCTAATTTGAGGCAGAATCCAGACTGTCTGATAATCCTAAAACTCCTCCTCCAGCTACTGAAAAGCTGCTCTCTCCATTTCTCCTTCTGCCTCTCTTGTTCAGTACCTTCTCAATTGTCTTTGCTACTCCCTATTTCTCTACCCAACTCTCAAATTTTAAAATCTCCCAGGCCTCTATTTCCCTCTTAACTCTCCGTACTTGCCCTGGAAAACCTATCAACTTCCACTGTTTACAATCACCTATATGCTGAAAATTGCTAAATCAGTCTATCCATCGATCCATCCATTTGCCTACCTACCTATCTAGCTCAGGGCAATTCTGCTCAGAACTTACGTGTACTGATCCATTGGACATACATCTCCAGATGGATTTTCTATAAGCACTTCATATTGTATATGTCCCAAACTAAGCTCTGTCACTCTTGATTCTCTAACCTGCATCTCCTTTAATGTTCTTCCTATACCACCCACTCCCACTCCACCACCTAATCAGTCATCTAATCCTAGAGATTCTGCCACCTGAACATCTTTGTAATCAAACCCTTTTCATCATCCCACTGCTAACACTTTGGTATAAGTCCTCACTTAACAAGGTCACCCCAATATCTTCTAAACTGCTGTTCCTGTCTCATGTTCCCCCGATGCATCCTTCTAGATTGCTGAGAGAGGTGTCTTCTCATGACTCTACTCCTTTGTTTAAAACAACCTTGAACAGAAAATAGTCCATACTCCTAATGATGGCAAACAGCCCTCCATGATCTTATTCTTGCCTATACCGATTCATCTGTTATGCCACCTTCTGTGAAGTCTCTAGAATTGTGTGCCCCCATGTAAAATTGGTCACTTCCAAATCCCTGCTCAGGGTACTCTATGCAAATCTCCATCATAGCACTTACAGAATTTACAGCACTATACTATACGTATTGAAACTAACATGCTTCCTATCTATCTCCCCCTCTTAAACACAGAGCCCTGACAGGATCTTAAGTGTAGCACATTCCCAGTGCCAGGCAGATAGTATACTTTTAATTAGTATTTATTGAATAAAACAATGAATGTTTGTGAAAGCTTCAGATTAAGGAACTATAATTATCAGTACTTTCAAGATCAAGTCAAACTACTTTATTCAAACTGATTTGATTATGTAGTTCCTTCATAGGTGGATATGCAAAATAATATTTAAATAATTCACCTAGTCTCTCATGGTTAGCAGAATTACAAAGTCATACTTCTTATGCCTGGTTTCCAGGATAGGAAAATATTAACAACATTACATGTAGTTTGTGTGTTTCAATGTCAGAAAACTGGTGTGTAAAATATCACAGTAAATACATTCCTAAATAAGACAATCTGGGCCTCCCATAAGAAAAATAAACTAATTCAACTTCTCAGAAAAGCAAAGAATTTCCAGAAGACTGAACTGTCTGAAATTAAGATACCTTTCTGAAGATCTCATACACAATTATTTTTTTCCTATAAAAAGGACATTAAAACCTTTTATATAAAGATCTTCCTTCTGGGAACCTAAACAGTTCAGCTCACCATCCAGCCCAGAAATAAAGCATGTGAACAGAAAGTGTCTGTCACAAGGTCCACAGGCTTTCTTCTAAAGCAATAGCCCACATCATTTAATAGAAAAAAAGACAACAGATAATATAGCAGCAGGGCCCGCTCACAGCCTGACAGCAGTAGAAAATGATAGCTGATAACAGAAAGAGGACCCAGAGAAACCATTATAAAAAGAATGGTACTTCTGTCTCCATTCTAGTATTTCAACCCAGCAGGCTGAGACCATTTACTATCAACAAAAACAGCTCTATATACCTCAACAAATAGCACTATTCAATTCTTTATGAATTGAAGCTCATAAAGATACCCCCCCAAAAAAACTAACTTATATCCAATATCTTCCAAAGTAACAAGGAAGACAGTAAGATTTAGAAATTGCTTGTTTTAGTAGCTAAAATTTTAAACTTTCAGTAATTAATGGTGTGAGGGGTCATCTATCTACAAAATGTGCTTATGTAAATAAACACAAACCCAGATGATGTGAAATAAATGAAATATTATTATATATTGTATAAACAATCAAAAGTTCTTACTCTCCAAGCTTATCTTAGAAATTTCCAGGTATATGCTGGAAAATCTTATACAAATTAAATAGCAACAAATCAATATTATTTGATAAATAGGCATATAAATAATTTTGAAAATGTTGAGGATTGGGGGGTTTCAGCAATATTTAAATGGTAATCAAACTGATGGTTGTTCATAAGGTACCATAAAATGTTTTAATTTAAATTAAATTATTAAGAAATATGAACTGTGAAACTTTCAACAAAAACTAAATGTTATAAAAATATATTTTGTTAGAAGTATCTTCTTTACTGCATCAGTTTGTTATTTTAACTTATGTACCAAGCACAAATATAACAAGCATAACCTTCTGGAAATTTTAGATTTAAAGAGTTTGAATCTTTACAGTAATATTTTCCTGGAAAAAGCCAGAAGCATAGTTTCCGCTCAGTTATGCCCCAGCTTCTAATAAAGTATCAAGCTTTTTAGTAAATATCAAGACTCTGCTTCACCACAGTTTTTAAATAACCCTATATAATAGCACTAGGTCACACAACACTAGATGTCAACTTAAACTTGTCGGTGGCAGGCAAATCAGACAATACTAAAGTATTTCTCTCTGGCATTATCTAGAACAGTTGTTGACACATTCCTAAAGCAAACCTCAAACTACCAGGAGATCATGTCTATAAGAGAAAACTGAGTCAGATTTAATTTGAGTCAGATTAACACAAAATCCTGATCTCTCTTACCATATAACATTGAAGTGCAGAACTTCTTAGTTAATTTAAAAATCTCCTGAGGACAAAGTGTAATTACTCCTAATAGTATTAAAATATCGATTAAAAAGCTCTTTCTATCGTTCCTTCAAATGGCAATACTTTTCCCTCTCGGGATACGTGGGAAATTAAGCAGGCCAATTCCAAGTGGATACAGATTTTTTGGACATAAAATTATCAGAAACAGAAACAGCAGCACACTTGGCATATAGCCCAACCTGCCACACATTCGTGTCATTAATTTTGAAAACCTAATAGTATAAAGTGACAGCCTCAGGGGACATAAGACTTTTAGAGTAGTGTGGGGTGTTTTTTTTTTAGCCTTTTTCCAGTAAAACCCACCCGAAATAAAAAGCTCTATCTCCACTGCTAACACTGGCTCATCACAGAGGTGACTCTCAGGATCACACCTGATCTGAAAATGCCACCCTCTCTCCTTCCCCTTGAGATACTCCCTTTCGCTGCTGCGAACGCCCAGTTAGCACCATCCAGTTTGCGGGAGTCTCAGAAGTTCCCCACCCTGTCCCCTCTCAGCCACCGCCCCCCGCCAGCTAAAAGGTGGTAAGAACCCGCCGTACAGGGACGAGCGCAAAGACGATGCTTTCCCTAAGGGAAGTGCCGCAAAGTGGCACGGTCACCGTACCCAACTTTTTAAACCCTCCGTTAAACCAGTCAGTTTTCACATACAGATTGCGCACCCCCTTCCCGCCACCTCTGGTGTCCTTTTGTCCCAACGCACTGCATCTGCTCGCACTCCCCGCTGCGGTCGGCCTCCCGCAGCTCCGCACGCCGCCGGGTCGCCCGGCCGCGCCGCCGCCCGACCGCGGAAGGCGCCCTCCTCCCCGGCCGCGTCCTGCTCTCCCCGCCCCGGGCGCTCACCGCGTCTCCAACTCCCGGGCCGCCCGCGCTTCCTCTACCAAGGGCACCCTTGTGGTCGCCGCGGGGGCTACCGCGCACTCCGGGTCGCGCGGCCCCCGGGGGCGCAGAGAGGTCCGAGCGAGCGCGCATCGCCCAGGACGCTCCCCGCCCCCACCGCACCGCGCGCTCCGTCCCCGTCCCCGCAGCGGGGGACGCGCTGAGGAGAGTCGGGGAGGTCGCCAAGCACCTCCCGGAGCCCCGTCGGCACCCCTGCCCCGGCCTCGGGACTCCGCCGTGCCCACCCCTCCAGGGTCAAGCGCAAGGTCCTCAGCGGGACCCGCGCCCCCGTTATCACCTCCCTCCGCCTCGCACGCGCCAACGCGAGGGGACCGTCGCGCCGCTGCCACACGGGAGGGAAAGGACTGCGGGCGCGGCGGGGGGCACCCGGGAGGTCCCAGCACACCCCTCCGCACCCAGCATGCCTCCCCACCCCCACTGCCCACTGCCGTCCCCCTCAGCCCGACGCCACCGACCCCCGCCCGGGTCGCGCCACCCGCGCAGCTCACCTCAGGGAGCGAGCAGCGCCCCTCTCCCTCCCGCGCGCTCGCGGGCACGCGTGGCCCCCAGCTCACCTCGTCTCTCGGCTGCGCCGCGTGAGTCTGAGCGTGTCCCTGCGCGTAATTGTATCCGGAACAGAGGGGACCCGTGTGCGCCGGATCAGGTGTCGCCGCCTCCGGTGGTTCGGGGCGTGAGGGACGCCGCGGAGTTAGCGTGTTGGCTCAGTGGACGGCGATGCTTTCGCCGTGCCTTCCCGCGGGTCCGCGGCGCGCCTGCTCCCCCGCAGCCCTCCGCGGGCCGCCGGGCCCCCCCACCCCGGACGCGCCCCGCCCCGCGCGCTGCTGTCCTGCTGTCCTCCCGCGCCCGGCTCAGCGGGCACCACGCGGGCCGCCGCGCCTCCTCACATCACACGCGTCGCGCCGCGAGCGCCTGCAACGCCCCGCGCTGGGGCATGTATGCGGACGCGCCTTCGGGCCGCGCGCTCGAGGCTGGGCGAGGGGCGGCGCGCGGGGACCGGCTGTCGCCTGCGGAGCGGAGCCGGCGAGCGGGCAGGACGCGCGAACTCGGCGCGCTCGAGCTGCGAATCCTGGGACCCGCACGTGGCCCCGCCCCGTCCCCCGCGGCCCCCACCCCGCCGCCGGCGTGTCGAGGGCCCTCGCCGCCTCGCCACGGCCGCCTGGGCCCCGTGCCCGCCTTTTTTCCTCACGCGGCGCAGTGAGTCCTGCGTGCGGCGACACCCTCTCTCGCCCCGACTCACAGCCACCTCGCCTCTCTGCGCCTGGACCCCTTCCACAGGGGCGCCTGGCTGGGGGGCGGAGGAGTTGGGGGTAGCGCGAAAGGAAAAGGGGGGCTGCCCCGGTACCTGCGCTGCCGCCAACCCGGGCTCCGTGCTGGGCCTCGTGCAGCGGAAAGCGTTAGAAAACGCGGGCTTGGGGATCCTGGAAAAAGTGAATTGGGTTGCTGAGCTCTGAACATCCCTCTCAGGCTCGCGCTGAAAGGGCCATTTGTGCTTTGCTGGGCTGAGTCTGTGGAGACTTTATTCTGACCAAATCTGTGTTTGCCAGCTGCAGAACCCTGCCAAGTTGTCGTCTTGTCCCGCAAGCGGCGTCGCCCCAGGCCTGCTGGAGCAGCGTCCTGTGCTGCCTCAGACCTGAGGGGCCAACCACTCCCTGGCGCCTCGTGTAGCCTGTGAGCGTCACGGAACCGGGGAAGCCTCTTAGTGTCGTTCTGTCTTCCTCTGAGCCTGATGGGCGTTGTAATATATACGTGTGTGCATGTGTTATGTACGTATATGTTGTCTATATATGTAGCATGTGAAGAGAATTGTTTATTGTTTACGTTCCACCTTCCAGAAAAGCGAAACTCATGTGGGTCACAAATTCCAGAAGCTGAGATGCAGCCCCTGAACACAAATGTGGTAATGTTTAAACGCTGGAAATCAAAAATGCCAAGTCAAGTCATTCTTGCCTTGCTCCAAAGAAGGATTCAGAAATAGGTTGGAACTTTCTGTCCTTAGATAAGAAAATGTAAACTATGTTTTACCACATATATTATTACTTAATGATAAGTTTTAAAAATCCTAATCCATATGGTGCTTTTCTTATTTTATTAAAGTCCATATACTCAATGGACTTTGGAGAGGATTTTCAAGTCTGAGTTCTGAAAAGATAATGTACTTTCATTCTTTTCAGATTAGAAATTCGAAAATATTCCTGTGAAAAGAACAAGGAATATTTTCCCAACCTTTCTACTTAAGGAGAGTACCATACTCTATATTTACTTCTTATTTAAATTGTACTAGAAAAAACTAAAATAAATGTTAAACATTACATAGATAACAATTAACAAAAGATAATTTTACTTTAAAAGCTTTATTTTCTCAAGTATCAAGCATCAGTTGCAAGTTTCTTATGATGCATACATAAACTCTTGGTAGAAACGTGATTATTAGCAATTAAAGGAATAACTTAATTTTTTGTTTTATGTCATAAAAATCTTTCTAAAATTTATGTCACATCCTCGTACTTAAAATCTTCTAAACTAACCATTGTGAAAGATTTTTGTCAGACTTACAGATTGAAAAAGCTATATATTATGTGCGTATATGTCCATGCTTATTATATTTATGGTCTCTTATTGTCTTCCACATTATGTAATGATAGTTGAATTTCACAGCTCTACACAGAAAGGGCATCCATAACTTAAAACAAATTTAGTCAATCATTGTATAAATAGTTGAATTACATTCTTGGAGTTTGAAATGATGAAAGTGAGAAATCAGTGAGGTTCCTTCTGTCTTTTTTTAAATGCAAGACCACTTGGCACTAAACATTAGCAACTGAATAATGAAAGCATGTGCTACTTCTTTTTAAAAAAAGATGCATATTTTTTATATTTAATCCATCCTCTAAACTCTCATCCAGTTTAACCCAAGATTCTCCCTGTCCTTAGTTTATAGAATGTTGAATTGGACAACATATCTGTAGTAAAGAAGTTTCAGTCAGTGTGGATTATGGTATTAAAATTCCCTCATTTCTATAGACCACAATATATCAGTGTTCTCAACTATTAATTTTTTAAATGCTTGTTATAATTATTCAGCCCATCTCATTTTATTGGAAAATATCACTAACCATGAGAGATACTAGCTTAACCTGGTAATCATTAACCATTAACTCTGGAACCAGACTACCAGGAGTTGAACTGGAACCTCATCATTTGCCAGCTGTGTGGCCTTTGGCATGTTACTAAACTTCTCTTTGCCTTGATTTCTTTACCTGTAAAATGAGTATAATAATATTATCTACTTCGATAGCAGTGCTCAATAAGTGTTAACAGTGTTATCTATCTGCAATTTTAACTGGTAATGGGAAAGTTAGCTTTCTAAGTTTTAGGGGAACTGTTAATATTTATTGACATATTTAAGTAGGGATTTTTCTATCACTGGAGGCAGTACAGCGTAGTTGAAAATGGCCTATTTTTAGTTCATTTGCTACCTTTCTTGACTAGGACTTATTTTTCATAAAGTGTTCTGACAAGACCAAGTTCTTCTAATGCTTTCTTTGCCTTTTATTATAAGTGATGTAGTATTTCTTAAAAACAATTCTTAGATTCCTTTTATTCATCTCACTAGCTCTTCTTTCATCCATCTAGCAAATATTTGTTAAGCACCCTATTTATGCTCAGTTTTAATAAACCCTGTAGAGAATTTATTCCCTTAACTGCCCCCAACCCCAATTATTTCTGGATCCTGCACTTAACAAGCTGGGGAAAGAAATAACTTACAAACATTTAGAAAATAATATATCATAGCTCATTTAAATGTAACCACAGGTCAAGTGCAAAATAAAGACAATAAGTAGTGGGAGAGAGAAAGAAGAGATTAATATTTGGCTAGACTTGTTAGTAAAAGGGTCATGGGAAAGATTGCATTTGATTTATATCATGAAGAACAGGTAGGTTTTTTAGTTATTCAAGAACTAAAGGGAACTTTGTGTGAGAATAAAATAGTGTATTATTCTTCCTGGACAACTTTTACAAGCCAAATGCCTATTGCCTAAGGTACATAATATTAAAATTTAATAAGTAAACTTCTATGTCTTAAATATGAAATATATTGCTTTGTTCGGTTGTAATTTTCACACTCTTTCAATACAAATGAACAGACAGTTGAATACCTATAGGTGCAGGCCCTGCTAGACAGTCCAGCCACAAATATGAATGTGGCATGATCCTCTGTCCCTCAAGGAACTCAGTATTTCGAGAAAGAAGATTAAATGAATTACACCTGTGAACACAGAAGTAGGATGAAAGCATAGGTGTAATACAGAGGCAGTAAGATTACTACTCTGTGTGGGTGAGAATGTCTAGGAAAACTTCACAAAGAATTGACACTTGAACAGTGTTTTGAAGGATAAATAAAAGTTCAGTAAGTCAATAGTTCAATTAGAATAGTTCAATTATTATGTTTTCATCTCAAATTAAATTAATCCATTGTTGTCCATAGTTACCTTAATATATTTTTATTCTCGAGCATTCTCTGATAAAAATCACCTATAATCTTACAGACATTGGCCTAGGTAAAGAATTTATGAAGAAGACTCCAAAAGCAATCACCGCAACAATAAAAATAAATAAATGGGACCTGATCTAATTAAAAAGCTTCTGCAGAGCCAAGGAAACTATCATTAGAGCAAATAGACAACCTACAGAGTGTGAGACAATATTTGCATGCTTATATATTTGATAAAGGGCTGATAACTAGAATCTATGTAGAACTCAGGGAAATCAGCAAGAAAAAATGAAACAACTCCGTTAAAAAGTGGGCAAAGGACATGAACAGAAGCTTTTCAAAAGGAGACAGACCAATGGCTAACAAACATGAAAAAATGCTCAGCATCTCTAATCACCAGGGAAATGCTAATCAAAACCAAAATGAGATATCGCTTAACTCCAGTGAAAATGACTTTTTTCAAAAAGTCCCCAAACAACAAGTGTTGACATGGATGAGGAGAGAAAGGAAAATTCATACACTGTGGGACTGCAAACTAGTACAACCTCTATGGAAAGTAGTATGGAGATAGCTCAAAGAAATAAAAGTAGAACTACCATTTGATACAGCAATCCCACTACTGGGTATCCACCCAAAGGAAAGAAAGACATTCTATAAAAAAGACATCTGCACTTGAATGTTATAACAGCACAATTCACAACTGCAAAGATATGGAAACAATCCAAGGGCCCATGAATACATCAGTGGATTAATAAAAGGTGGTGTGTGTATACCATGAAATACTACTCAGCCATAAAAATGAGGAACTACCTATTGTATTATCCTGGATGGAGTTGGAGCCCATTCTTCTAATTGAAATATCACAAGAATGGAAAAACGAACACCACATATACTCACCATAAAGTTGGTACTAATTAACATTAATGTACACATATGAGAAGTAACATTCATACAGTGTCAGGCAGGTGGGAATGGGGAGGGGATGGGTAAATTCACACCTAATGGATGTGGTGTGTACTGTCTGGGGGATGGACATGTTTGTAGCTCTGACTCAGGTGGTGTGAAGGCAATTTAGGTAACCAAAGCATTTGTACCCCCATGATACTTGGGAAAAAAATCACCTACATTGATTCTTTTTCCCATTTTTAAATAGAAATAATAAAGATATTATCTGCTAATAAAATAATATATGAAAGAAAGTAAACCATAGGATTGTTAGATACATATATTATTCATAATGTATTTTTAAGGAAGAAAAATATAGAAATCGGAATAGGTTTTAAATAAAGACTTATTGAAAAAGAATACTGAGAAGAAAGAGTGTGCTCATAAATCCTTGTGAGTTTTAGGAATTTTATAGTAAATGAAGCATGGTTTAAAAAGGTTTTATCTATTCAGATATTAAAACACTTGCAAGAACATAATTTTATAACTTTGTAATTAATGAATAATTTAAAACTAATATATTGTACAGCTCTTCTCTTAATATATTTAAAAGTGGCAACTCCTGAAATCTA